GTACTTTGTGAACTCCAGCCCTACCAAACATGACGTATCCGCATCCGGAAAACATGACATAAGCATAGGCACTCAGCCATACACAGCCACACAAACCCGTAAGGCAGATCAAGTCGGCTATCCTTGGCATTGGGTTCGGGACCTTTACGACTTACCGTACAGCTTAACTCGAGAGATTCTTCTCCGCAGTCAACTGCAATCACCCGCGAATATCTTCTACTCTATACCTACTTACAGCCTATAACCTACAACAACTCAAAGTCGATCATCTCCGGGTCCTCCGAACCACACCGCCACCATGTCTTGGGCAGGTACGCCTCATCCCACCAGAACCCTCGGACTCATGAACCGGTGCCGGTCTGAGCGAATCTAACCGCATGGATGCACAGGGTTCAAGAAGAATGTCAACCGTGCGACGACGCAGGTGATGATGAAGACGGGTGAGTTTGTCGATTTCTACCCCGCAACGAATCCAGAGAGGGCGATCGGCCACGATCCCGGATTGAGCTACCCGCTACGAGCTACGCTTTACTTGCCGGGCCATATGTATGTGGAGAGCGCGCTGACTCGGTAATTGCATAGGCCATGTCGAGAGGACGAATGATCGCGATTATGAGATTGAGGAACGGTATGGTTGTCCTTGTTGCTGCCTCTGGATGGTTATACCGGGACCGGAACTGACGTTGCTAACTGTAGTCGTTACCGGACTATGGAGACCGCGGCGAATCGGTTGCAAAAGGAGGCAAAGGGCTATTTGGATTCACTACGAGGTGGGTGACCTTTTGCTTGCGGATTGTTGGATCTGGCTGTTTAGTTGGCTGACTCTTCCCAGCCATGACGGCCTCCCAAATGCGCATTGCGGAGACTATTGATGCTTTCTACGGCGATGCGGGAACAAGAGATGGTGTGAGCCGGAGCTACAAGCAGGCCGTTGAGGATCTTGATGCCGAGACCATCAAGGCTCTGGATGGGCCATACCGGTAGGAGATCCTTGTTTTACTGACGTGTACACGAGTGGTGCTGACAGAGGCCAAAGTACGACCGTCCTCGACCCAATCTCCCGATTCTGCGCCTACTTCCCGGACGTGAATGAGTGCATCAAGAAACGAAACCACAAGCTACTAGACTACGACGCCATGCGCGCCAAGGTCAAGAAGCTAGCCGAGAAGCCTGACAAGGACGTCACCAAGCTGCCGCGGACCGAGCGCGAAGCCGAGATGGCAAAGCAGGCCTACGAGCAGCTGAACGAGCAGCTCTTCAACGAACTCCCCCAGCTTATCGACCTACGTGTACCCTACCTCGACCCCAGCTTCGAAGCTCTCGTCAAGATCCAGCTGCGCTTCTGTGCTGAGGCGTACTCACGAATGGCGCAGGTGCAGCAGTATCTCGATGCCGAGACACGCGACCAGTATGCCAAGGGTGATCTGGATAACCGGGTTGAGGAGGTGTTGCAGGAGATTCGCGATTTGAGCATAGCTGGAACCGTTTGAGCTGTTCTTTTAATCGACCACTCTATTAGCATAATACCGGATGTTTCTTTGCTTGGCTGAGATCTGTACAGCAGACTCATCCTTTTTTCTCTCTTTCTTTGCTTTGGTCGATAGATATCGGCAGCTATTTCCTGTTTTCATTGGCCTTCCACCAGGCGTTTTCTGTGTATATGTTTAATACATCCACGAGCTGACTTTGACATTGCTCTTCATCACTTTCTCCAATTCTGTGCCTTCGCCTGCGAATATGGAATCGCATATAACCAACAATCATGAGGGGGACGGGGTATAAATTGTGTCGTACTCCAACAAAATCTGCACTATCAACATCACCAAGATCAACCATCAGACCTTCTCTGCAGGTCTAAAAAGCTCCTCCCGAATAGTCTCCACCACCGGCATCGCCGCGGAATGATAAGCCTTAAGCTCCTTATCAGTAACAGTCTTCAGCACATACTCCGAAACAGCAGCCGTCTCATGTGACGACGGACGGCCAATACCAAGGCCGACGCGCAAGATCGAGAGATCCCCCAACGGCTCGATAATACTCTTACTCGTGCCAGACGAGCGGGGATACAACCCCTTCTTGCGCAGTGTCTCACAGATACTAATGAGACCGCGATGGCCGCGCAAACTAAACGTCTCAGGCCCGCCGCGTATGACGCGGAGCTTGCCTGGGGCGATGGAGAGTTCGTCGTGGAGGATGACAAGGGTCGTTGGGTATGTAGTTTGTGCGGGGAGGTTTGCGTGTTGTGAAGACGAGGCAGTGGCACGAGTTGTGGCAACGTTGGCGATTCTTTCAAGACGGTTGGCTCGTTCGGTTGCCCATTGTTCTAGCCGGCGTACGAGTTTCGGGCCTGTTATGTTCATTTGGGTTGGACTTTGCCATGTTTCGTGGTAGAGGCCTGTGTTTGGGAGGGTGCTTTCGAGGAGTGGTTTTAAGGCGTCGAGGAGCAGGTGGCCAGCGCTGTGTCGGGTATTGTAGTAGGGGGCTGGATTGCCTATTGAGGCTATGAACAGGAAGCGGCGGGGGAGGATATCCATGTTTGTAGGGAGTAGGGAGGAGAGGAACCTCAGGTTTTCGGTGTATTGTAGACTGTATGATTGTAGATTGTGGGTATTCCTTTTTTCCCTATCCATTGTCATTGGTTCAGTTACGGGAGATCGTCTCGTGACTTGGCTGATATCGGAGATAAGGAATTTTGAGGACTAGCCCTAGACTTGAATAGTCTGAGAATCCTTCTTTTTAACCTTCTTTTTAACCAGAATCGATATTAGCTAGATTATTTAGATTATCCCCGTTTTACCTCCGAAGCCCCGAGCATCTATAGAAACTATAAAAGAACATCCTCTGTGCAATCTGTGCAATCCTAAAGCCAACGAGAACAAAACTGCTATAATATCCGTTTTCGTCTGAGCGACTAGTTAATTGTACAAGCATAAATGGCTTCCAACTACATCACCAACGCTGCTATCGCCGGGGTGAGTGACCATTTATCACCATCTATAAAACACCAGCTACACAACAGGCCAGCGGCAACAGCAGTAGTATTATGACGGAAGCCCTACTCAAGACTGGCAGACACCCATTCATAGCCCTAACCCGGGCTGGCAGGCAGAGTAAGCTGCCAGACGGCGTGACCGCCAAGCCAATTGACTACAACAAACCGGAGACTACTGTGGAGGCGCTCAAGGGCCAGGATGCACCGATAATTGCATTGAGTGGGCTTGCCAAAGAGGATATTGATGAAGCGACCAGGGCAGCTATCGAGCGCTGGAAGAATACTACTTGGTAGATCATGAAGCTGATTGGCTAGATAAATAGATAGAGCATAAATGCTCCGTAGAATACGTGAATTCTGTCCATTGCAATGAAACCAGACAAGCTTTTGGATATAACTCCTTTTTAACCCATGCAAAACCGAGAATAACAACATGAAAAGACATTTACAGTTGGAACAAAGTCCTCGTCTTCTCCATTCCACCCTTCCATTCCCACTCCTGGCCACTGGCACGCTGGATGCCCTTATCAACACGACGCAGCTTTAAAGTGAAGCGAGGTCCCAGTTCCTGCAGACCGGTACGGATACCCTCAGCACCTGCCATTTCCTTGCCGTCAGCACCAACGACAGCTTTCTCAGTCTCACGCTTCTCGCGGAAGACGTAGCGGTGACGACGGACGAAAATGTAATCACGCTGGTTGTGTAAAGTGACAACTTGTCGGCCCTCGAAATCCGGCTGAGGCGGGAAGAGTGTGCGGAACAAATGGGCCGTCAGAAGACCGAGAGGAGTACGGAAGTTATTGAGGATCAGCTCGGGCCAGTGCTCGGTGGCTCGGCCGTGTCCTGGAAGCCGCTTTCCTTCGATCCAGTTGCTTATGGTGAAGTGGAAAGTCGGACCGACTGGTAAGTGCACTATCGTTAGCCCAGAGGGCCGCTTCTGGTCCTCATTCAACACGACGACCGTCGTGAAATTACGATTTGAGGCGAATTTGGAAATCTCGCGGATTGAGAATTTGTGCGAGTACCGGTGTGCATTACGCCGGATATACACGCTATTCGGGAAGACCTCGGTCAGGGTCTCGGCTTGGTTGTGGAGGGTAGAGTTAAGGCCGGTGGTAATAAGGATTTTCGGGGTGGGTGGGGGTCCCTCGGTGAAGAGTGTAGGGAATTTGGCGGCCAATGCTTCAGGAGCGAGGCTGAGGTTTGTGCTGCGCGTGGACTGTGTAGGACTTGTGGCACGCTCTGTCGCAGTTCGGAGAGAGGTCTTCTTCCGGCCGCGGCTAGCATCTTGGGCTTCGTCCTTTTCCCCATCCTCATCCTCATCTTCACTGTTGTCTGATTCAAGCATACTGTCCACTGACTCGTTGTCTGATTCTGGAGCCTCGCTGTCATCCTCGCCCTCTTCTAACGGCCGATTGAGCTCGTCTTCTTCTTCTTTCTTAGCGCGCTTGATGCGCTCAACGTCGACGCTCAATCCCAGACCAGTCTCTTCGGTGTCGTTGTCGGCTTCGTTCCAAACACGTTTCCGCTCGAGGGTCAGAGGAATATTGCGGCGAAGTCGTTCTTCCTTCAACTTGGGGTTCTTGGCTTCTTCTTTCTTGAAAGCGTAGCGCTCCTCTCGGCGCGCGGCATCTTTGGCTCTCTTGCGCTTGACATGGTTCATCTTCCGGCGCAGCTTGTTGCCGGTTTTGATATCACCCATGACGCCCATAGGTGGTCCAGATCGGCCAGACACACCCATTTTTGAAAGCTGAGAGGGTAGAGTGCTGCTGTTGAAGGTCAATGGAAAATGTAAAGATCGCCGAGAAATAAATTATTTCGGACAATCGTTTTCCCGGACCGACAATCTGCGATTCGACCTTATGACTCGGAGACCTCCTTTTTAGATAGGAAAATAAATAAAAGAAAAAGAGAAAAGACCGACCCAATTGGTCGTTCTCTCTCGTTCTATACCCTTTGTCTCTTGTCCTCTCAGTGGTGCCTGAGGGGCTGCCCAGGTGCGTAGTGGATGACTCAATTGCCGCGCCTACGATTTCCCCCCCGCTCTTTTCTTTCCCCTCCGTCTTTCTTTCGGTCTCAGTTCAGGACTTACACCCCTCCCCCGAAGACCTTGAAACGAAACGTCAAGATGGCCACCGTCAACACCAAGACCGGCCAGGCCGTCGACCGCACGGTGCTGGACTCCATGCTCCGTCGCCGCATGTTCTACACCCCCTCCTTCGAAATTTATGGTGGTGTGTCTGGTCTGTATGACTATGGCCCACCTGGAACCGCCCTGATCGCCAACATGACCGACCTGTGGCGCAAGCATTTCGTGCTCGAGGAGGACATGCTCGAGGTCGACACCACCATGTTGACCCCCCACGAAATTCTCAAGACTAGCGGGCACGTGGACAAGTTCGCCGACTGGATGTGCAAGGACCCCAAGACTGGCGAGATCTTCCGTGCCGACCACTTGGTTGAGGAGGTGCTCGAGGCCCGCCTCAAGGGAGACAAGCAGGCGCGCGGCGAGACAATTGTGGTGGACGAGGAGAAGGAGGCCAAGAAGAAGAGAAAGGCCAAGGGCACCGAAGCTAAGAAGCTGGATGATGCCGTAGTCAAGGAGTACGAGGAGACCCTTGCACAAATTGACAACTACGGTGGCCCCGAGCTGGAGCAGCTCATCAAGAAGCATGACATCCGCAATCCCGTCACCGGCGGCGAGGTGCTGCCTCCTGTCTCTTTCAACCTCATGTTCCAGACCTCCATCGGCCCTAGCTCCAACATGCCCGGCTACCTGCGTCCCGAGACCGCCCAGGGTCAATTCCTGAACTTCGCTAAGCTCCTGGAGTTCAACCAGCAGTCGATGCCGTTCGCCTCTGCCTCCATTGGCAAGTCATTCCGTAACGAGATTTCCCCGCGTGCGGGCCTCCTGCGTGTGCGCGAGTTCCTTATGGCTGAGATTGAGCACTACGTCGACCCAGAGGGTGGCAAGAAGCACGCTCGCTTCGATGAGATCAAGGATACTGAGCTGTCCTTGCTCGACCGGAACGTGCAGCTGTCCGGAAACACAAATCTGACCAAGATGACCGTCGGCAAGGCCGTTGAGACCGGACTGGTCGACAACGAGACTCTGGGCTATTTCTTGGCCCGCATTCAGTCCTTCCTGTTGAAGCTGGGTGTTGACCCCACCAAGCTGCGCTTCCGTCAGCACATGGCCAATGAGATGGCTCACTACGCCACTGATTGCTGGGATGCCGAGTTGCAGACCAGCTACGGCTGGATCGAGTGTGTCGGTTGCGCTGACCGCTCTGCTTACGATCTGACTGTCCACAAGGATAAGACCGGTGCCCCTCTCGTAGTGCGCCAGGCCCGTGCTGAGCCTCTGCGTATCGAGGAGTACCAGATTGACCTCGAGAAGAAGAAGTTCGGTCCCCGATTCAAGAAGGACGCCAAAACCGTCGAGGCAGCTATTGAGTCTCTGTCCCAGGAGCTGCGCGAGAAGCTGTCTCTGGACCTTGAGAAGGACGGCAAGATTGAGGTCGATGTTGAGGGTGTTGGATCTGGCAAGGTCGAGATCGAGAAGGATCTGATCAAGATTGAGAAGCGCACTCGTGTTGAAAATGTCCGCGAGTACACCCCCAACGTTATCGAACCATCCTTCGGTATTGGTCGTATTCTGTACAGTGTCATTGAGCACTCCTACTGGTCCCGCGCCGGTGATGAGACCCGTGGTGTAAGTCTTCCCTTTTGTGTCTTACTTTCCTTTTCTTGTTTCTTCTTTGCTTTCTTTTTTTTTCTTTTTGCCATGGATGTTAGTACTGACGATCTCTATAGGTCCTTTCCTTCCCTCCCGCCATTGCCCCCACAAAGGTTCTGCTGGTTCCCCTCTCTACCCACGCCTCCTTCAAGCCTCTGACCCAGCGTCTGACATCGAAGCTGCGCAAGGCCGGTGTCTCCAATCGTGTCGATGACTCTTCCGCCAGTATCGGCAAGCGTTACTCCCGCAACGACGAACTGGGCACACCCTTCGGTATCACTGTGGATTTCCAGTCCGTTCAGGACAACACCTTCACCCTGCGCGACCGCGATACCACCAAGCAGGTCCGTGCCAGCGAGGACGAGATCCTGCAGGCTGTCAAGTCGCTTGTTGAGGGCGACGAGACATGGGAGGA